ATCAAAGACCCCGCAAGAATTTGCCAGTGCCCCATAGTAATCACTCTGTCCGTCTGTCTGTTTGTCTTCGTCTGTCTATCCGTCTGTCATTCTTCACTCCACATTTTTTATACCCACACTTTCTAAAGAAAGTTCGGGTATATTGTTGTTACGCATGTCCGTCCGTCTGTCACACTTTCTTCTTCCTCAAACTTCTCTAACATTTTACACTGTAGCCTAATTATCTTTTGGGAGCTGGTTGGTGGTGTCCTTTAGATGTGCAATAAGGTTTCGGAATTTTAATTTTTACCCTGGGGGTCAAATAGGGGTCGAAAAATGACGTTTTTTATGCAAAAAGCCCCTGGTTCCCTGAACTCCTCTTACATTTTACACAGTAGCCTAATCATCTTTTGGGAGCTGGTTGGTGGTGTCCTTTAGATGTGCAATAAGGTTTCGGAATTTTCATTTTTACCCTGGGGGTCAAATAGGGGTCGAAAAATGACGTTTTTTATGCAAAAAGCCCCTGGTTCCCTGAACTCCTCTTACATTTTACACAGTAGCCTAATCATCTTTTGGGAGCTGGTTGGTGATGTCCTGTAGATGTGCAATAAGGTTTCGGAATTTTCATTTTCACCCGGCAAATAGGGGTCATGATTTGTACATACTTGAATCTACACTTCTTGAGAATGTTTCAATATTAATCATGCTCTTGTTCTTGAAAAGAGGAATTTTGAAGATTTTTTTCCTTTTATTCCTATTTAAAACTTTGATCCCTTATTGTGGCCTGATCCTACCCCAGGAGGTCATGATTTGAAAAAAAAAACCTTGAATCCACACTATATGAGGATGTTTCCATATCAAAAAGACTAACAAGCAAATTCAAAGAATTGTGGTCCCCTGCTTTCGGTGTCTTAGTGGATGGGATGCCATTATTTATGGCATATTGTGTCAAATATGCACGCCCTATCATATGTCATTCAAAAGTAATCACCGAAGTTAAAATTTTTGAAAATTAGGTAAAATATGAAGGTCAAGGTCAAGGGGTAAAAAGAATGTATCTTTTTATACTATATATACAATGACTAATAATATTGGGATTGTTATTTACTCACTTTACTACTTCCTTGTTTAAATGACAGTAATTGGTCGAACTGTCCCACGTATTTAATGAGTGAGGATGGGAATCCCGAACACTCCCCCCCAATAACCTTAAGTTTTTCGCTCTTTGTAAATGTAATAGTTTTTTTTGTTTTTTGTTTGTTTTTGTTTTTGTTTGTTGTTTTTGTTTTTTGGGATTTTTTTTTTTTTGGTTTTGTTTTGTTTTGGTTTGGTTTTTTTTTTCTTTTTTTTGGTCTTTTGTTTGTTTGTTTGTTTTTTTTTTTTTTGCTTCTTATTTTATATCAAAGCTCTAACCCCCCTTCATGAATTTACACTACTACATGTATAAAAATGCTTGCTAATCTTGGTTGCCATCTCTCTCTCTCTCTCTCTCTCTCTCTCTCTCTCTCTTGGGCCTGTTACATTTACAGTACCAACCAGACCCAACCTGACACAAAGCAGTCCCAGAGCAGTCCCGGGGACTGCTTTCTGGGACTGCTCTGGGACTGCTAGAGCAGTCCCAGAGCAGTCCCACAGCGGTCCCAGAGCAGTCCCAGCGGTCCCAGAAAGCACTCCCAGCAGTCCCAGAAAGCAGTCCCAGTGGGCGGGGTTAATTAATTTAATGGGCGGAGCTTACTCATAAATGAGATTACCAATAAACAATGTAACTATAAAAGGCAGTTGAAATTGATGATCCATTTCTTTCTGAGCAGTATCAAGTCTCATGCGACAGACATTTTTTAACTGTTAAGAAAATCACACTACGCGTATAGAAACAAATAATAAATATTGAACAAAGAAGACGTTCACACCTATAAATAAGATGAATATTTAAACACAGTTTTGTGGTATATTAATTTTTCACCAAAATAAATCAATTTCTAAATCACTGTGATTGATATTGGTTTCCATATTTTTTTTTTTTTTTTTTTTTTTTTTTGTAGATAATTAAGCTTGAGTAATTTATTTTCTATCAAAACTAGCTTTAAATAGGCCTTATAATTATAGAGCAAGGCCGATTTCCATACTATACTCTGAATGCAGTTTTCTTAAGTACTGGAGCTTTTGAAAAATTCTTTGTATATTAATATATTTCAGTCATGATTATTTTCACTGACTTGCCAATTTAATTATCGTTAAATTATCTATGTAACAGAAAACAATAATACTTTTATTATATAAACGTTTGAGTGTACATCTGTAAATCACGCGAATGGAACCCTCAGATTATGTTCAAAATTAATTAATCCCGAAATAAATTTATACACATTTATTGAAACGAAGATTTTTTGCAGTACATAGATTGAAATTAGTGTCATTGTTGACCAGCATGTTCAGTGATGTGTAACACTGATACCCAAATAACATGCATTGACTTTCTGCTAATCATGCCCGAAGGCGATTGAAACTTCAGGTGTTGACACCATTTTATACATTTGTATTGCTTTTTATTAATCGGCCAGGAAAACACAAACAAAACAAATAAGAAATAAGTCACAATTCCCAATATTTTAAAATGTTTATAAATTTACTCTTTTAATAACTTGTTTATAAATCAAAAACAAATTCATAAATAAATCCCCCAATAATTGTTCACAAATATAATGTTTTAAATGACTGAAGAATGGTAGAATAATTTTATTTCATGGTCATTTAATAAATTATTAGGTTTTATTTGAGGGCGGTAAAAAATAGCATGGAATGCTCTTTTTTAGCATGCATATGGTTTTAGCTTTTTCAATTTAAAAAAAAATCCAGTACAGTACGTCCCTCTGAATGTCTTATTGTAATGACAAGTTCGTTTGTTTTTTTGTTTGTTTGTTTGTTTTGAAATAGTGCTGATGCAAACTTTGAGTACATTCCGTAACTTGACAGCATCAATTAATTAAATAGGCCTCGATGTTTTTTTTTCAAACACCTGTATTAAAGTTTTAATTAGCATGAATTAATTAAATAGGCCTAGATGTATTTTTTTTTCAAACACCTGTATTAAAGTTTAATTTAAAGGATAAAAGTCATCTCCTGACTTCCCTTTTAACTACTTTCATTTTTTAAAATTAATTCTAGACTACAATTGTGTAAATTTACAGCCTCTGAAGACATTTAGTAATTACATGTATATCTATCTCTACTTATTAAAATGTTTTAAAAAAAATCCTTGTTTTTTTTTTTTATTCTTTATCTTAAACACCTCTCTGCTGAAAGTAAACAAAACAACAACAGGGAGCCTGCAAATTCAGAATACACAAGGGGCGGAGCTATCATGTCACTCAGAACCTTTTTCATGCATAAGCGAACAAAGCAGTCCGAGAAAGCAGTCCCAGGGACTGCTGGGACTGCTGGGTCTGCTTTCTAGAGCAGTCCCAGAGCAGTCCCACAGCAGTCCCAGAGCAGTCCCACAGCGGTCCCAGAGCAGTCCCTCAGCAGTCCCAAAGCAGTCCCGGGGACTGCTTTCTGGGACTGCTTAGGTGTCAGGTTGGGTCTGGTTGGTACTGTAAGAGGAGTAACTCAAAATAGAAAGAGATAGCAAGTAGGCCCCCTTTGACTTATTTTTTCATGTGTTGGCTAGGTCACAGCATGCAGGAGATACTGAATTTACTCAAAACCATAAAAAATTGTCACTGTCTTGAAAAAATACACGCGATCTGTAAAATCAATCAGGTTTATTTAATTTGTCAACTCGAATTTTCTAGGTTCAATACTTCGTAACTTAATTTATGTCAAAAGGTCTCGGATCAGAAAAGGTTTTCAATAAAAAATATTAATTATTCTTTTCTCTTAAAATGACAAAGGCGATTTCTGAAATGCATGTTGGGTATGGGTTATAATTATAATAGTAATAATATATACTAGACTCTATTGCCTAACATTTGTATGCTGTCGATGCAGACTTCACGACATACACAATTTATGTTTTGTAAGGTGGCAAAAAATCTTAAATATAGTTAAATATAGATCAGCTACTTGAATGAAGTCTTGGGTCAGAACTGAGGAACGCAGTACACAAAAAGTCGACATTATTGCTTCCGCATGCTGTCATGCTTAGCGAGAGTTTTTCGTTCTTTTTTTGCACCACAACACAAAATAACTTATAATAAATAGAACATTTGCATTTCGAAACTTTTTAATATTTACAAAAGCAATATAGAATCTTTTTCATTTCTATTAATGTAGGGTAATCCGCGTTATTTCCACTGTGTGAGTCGGCGCTAAGAGATTTGAATCGAACGAAAAGTATTAATTTCGATGTGGCCACACCCCTCAAACAAAATAATAATATGCTCTATTTATTCATATTTTAATTCTTTTTTCAATGTTATAAATTTTATTTTGTTCAAAGGGTGTGGCCACAACAAAAATTTGAATCAAAGACGAAAAAATGTTTTATTTTCAAAAAAAGTAGCAAGGTGCACGTGTTTAGACGTTTTCTGTACAAATATGACGTCATCAAATAAAAAAAAATGGCATAAACTATTCAAGTTTGATACACAAGGATAATATTTCTATTGTAAATTATCATCTTCCCCTCAGTTTAATTTCCTGAAAAAATAGGACAATTTAGCCTCTTCGTGGATTTAGCTCTTTAAACAAGAACTGATGATTCAAATCATGTTTTTCACTTCTATTAATATGACGTAGTTAATCTAAGTGTAACCATGTGTCTTTCATTCCGTTATTAGCTACACAAGATATACTGTATAATCTGGATTAGGACAGTTTACATTTAAAAACCGCAAACATCCAAAAAGTAAATATATAAAATTGAACATATTTTAAAAATAACGTCAAGCAGATTGATACATTTTTGACGTAATTGTGACGTAGGCAACATAGGTTATATGATATAAACTATTTTTTATCCAATCAAATGACACATTACAACCAAAATTAAATTATTGGCAGATGTAAATATTAATACTTACATCTGACTTCCAGTAGTCTTTAGTTTGGTCTTCCGCAGCAGAAGAAGATGAGGATGAGCTGCATCTGCCAGTTGGACGAGGCTTATCATACAGGTTTATATTTAGAGGTAAATTACAAATCCTAAGAAAAGAGGTTATAGTTACCATTTTCATTTACCCAAATAAGATCACATGTAGTTTATTTTAAATCTGTGACAATTGAAACGTGATTTTAATAATGATACCTTTTTCCTTCTTGTATGGATCTTATCCTTTATCTTGTGTAGCAAAAAGAAAGAAATATAACAGTCCAAACCTGACCTTAACCTAGACTTGTATATGAACACTGACAACTGTAGAAGCATATAAAACCACATCATCGGATACTCACGGGTGATTTCGTCTTTACTCATCACCCGTGGGCAAACTCGCTGAAATATCGCCGTAAAATATGCTAATTTGTTGATTATAGCCAACCAATCAAAAAGTTGGAACTCTTCAATTTTGAAAATATGTTTATTAGTTTGCTATTTATGGTAAATATTTTGACGCTCGTTAAAACGTGCAAGGTTTGTTTTAAAACGATTAAAGTCCATTTGTACAGATCACTGACATTACTTTTTTTTCAAACTGCAAAATGCACCGGTGAGTGGATTTATTAGCAATCGGTGTGTTAACTAGGGCCTGTAAACTACGGAATAGTTTTTGGCATTGCCGAACATACATACATAACGTGAACTTTGATTCGTATATTTGCCATTGCGACTCTGTTCAGCAGCCAGTCAAATGACCCACGCATATTTATTACATACGACGATTTTTCGGCGAGTTTGCCCACGAGTGATGAGTAAAGACTAGATCACCCGTAGGTATCCGACGATGATAAAACCATAAAACTTTTAATATTACACGTCATAATTTTTAAAACTTTGCCTCATTATTTCAACCCCAGAGACTACAACTACGAATTATGAAAAACATATGTTTTGTCTTTTCTGGCTCATTGGTTCTTCAAAAGATTTTCAATTGACTCAGATATTTTCACCATTTATAAAGTATTTTAAAAAGGACATAGATTTTGTGATAAAAATATGAATTCATTTCGTCCAAGGATGTATTGTGGCAAGTTCAGTTGAAACTTGCCCAGTGGTTCTGGAGTAATATAGTATATATGTATAGTTGACAATGTGAAAAGTGTGACTTAAGAAATACAGAGAAACAGGTGGACACTGGAGTCACATAATTTTAGCATTAAAATCTTCAGAAGGTGAAAACAAATGCCATCAAAATGCTACATTGCATGAAGAAACTCGCATATTACAAACTGATTGGACCTCAGGAGGGAAGAACTACGCACGCTAACTCTTGATTCCCGCCTATATTTTACACCCATTTAATTCAATATTAATGGCCATTAAAACTTAATTGAATACAAAGAAGAGTTATTTAGTAATTGATCAATAATTTTAAAACCAGTGTCAAAAATATAATTGCTCTTTTTAAAACTGTTTTCACAAGAAGGTTAGAATATTTTATCCGTTAAAATCAGGCATAAAAGCATCACCAGATTTTCAAATATGCATGGGAATGGATAAACGACCCTTAAATCTTTCAGTATGTTAAACTTATGTAAAATTCAACGTACAAGATTGAAAAAGTACATTTTTTTGATTTGTAATCTCATTTGAACTTGGTAAAATATGACCATTTTTTGCTGTTTTTTGTCTATAAACATATGTTCCCCTCGTGAAACAACGAAAGCTTTCTTATGCATGTAAAATTAAAATCCCTGATTGTATCCACTACCTGTCTTCAAGAATTGCATAATCTGAAATCTGCTTTCCAAAAGTTTATAATTAGCTTACTTACAGTCAGCTTGTAGAGGAAATTCTTTTACGTTAAAAAAATATATTAAAAGTCTAATTTATTCTTAATTCATGGATCATTATCCGCACCATCAAATAAACATCTTTAAATGGAACATGTTTCTTTCAAGAATAACATGTAATTACTTACAACACTAACGTCTCAGAGAAAAAAAATTATAAAATGAAAATCCAGTTGACTTGAATACACTAGAATCTGCACTAGATGGAAACACATAATTTAAAATAGTCATGACCTTACTCTGCTTTTCAAAAACGACTTTATTAATTTTTTTTATTGTGATGTAAAATTTGACACCTTTTTTAAATAACAAAACTTTGAATATTTATTGAAACGTAAAGTATTGCAAGTTTGAATGAAAATGTCCCTGTTTTTCTGGAAAAATTGAAAAAAGTGAAAAATTAACAGACATGTAGACTGAAAAAATATATTATGAAAGAAAAATGTTTAATAACTAAATTAGTAAAGACTACATGTACATATAAAATTGGTTTAAATGTATATAAGGTCATTCCAAGTTTTTCTATGTTTAGCGTCCACGGACGGATTGGTTTTCAGGTTATGATATTAAAATCAAACACAAATTAAAACAAACACAAATCTTTGAAATGCAATTTACTCTTTCTGGATCTGCATCTCTTTTTTTTTTTACAAGTGGTATACCATTTTTTTTATTTCAATGATCTAATAATTTAACTTAGTTACGATGCGAGGAGAATTCTCAAGTGATAAGGAGAAGATCTATAAATATTCTTAAAACGTGTTTTACCCTTTTGGTTTGTGTGTTTTCCCGGAAAGAAGGATGGGTTTTCGAATTTAGGGTGAACGCTAAACAAAGAAAAACCTTGGAATGGCCTAACTCTTACTTTGACCTTTTCTGTAAATATTTTATCCCGAGTGTTCAAATGAACGCTTGTGTTGCATGCTTTATAGCATCAATAAAGACGCAAATAAATCTTATAGTGCTCAGCTATTTATTAGTAACTAGGATTATAGTTCATGCATTTGTCTGCAAAAAAACCAAACAAACAAAAACAAAACCAAAAACAAAAACAAACAAAAACAAAACAGAAAAAACAAGAGGCCCAAGGGCCTTAACAGTCACTTGAGTTTAAAACAACAATCCATAGAAGATCCGTAGAATATGATATAAACTGATAGAAGAAGCTTTTGTAAATCTTTGATCGTCCATTGTGGCCCCACCCTATCCCTTGAGTAATAATTTGAACAAACTTAAATCTATACTACCTGAGGATGTTTCCATGTAAATATAACCAATCATGGCTTTGCTGTTCTTGAGAAAAGAATTTTTTCAAGATTTTTCCTACATATTCTAATGTAAAACTTTCAATGTCCATTATCGCCCGCCCGCCCTACCCCTGGGGATCACGATTTTAACAAACTTGAATCTATACTACCTGAAGATGTTTCCACATTTCATCTTTCTTCGCCCGGTGGTTCTGGAGAAAAAGATTTTTCCAATGTATTCCCATGTAAAACTTTGATCATCCAGTGTGGCCCCGCCCTACCCCCGGGGGTCACGATTTGAACAAATTTGAGTCTACAATACCTGAGGATGCTTCCATATAAATATTACTCACCATGGATTTGCTGTTCTTGAGAAGAAAGTTTTTAAAGATTTTTCCTATATATTTCTATGTAAAACTTTGATCCTCAATTGTGGCCCCAACCTACCCCCGGGGGTCATGATTCGATAAACCTGAATCTACACTACCTGAGTATGTTTCCACATAAGTTTCATCTTTCTTGGCCCAGTAGTTCTGGAGAAGAAGATTTTTAAAGATTTTTTCCTATATGTTTCTGTGTAAAATTTTGATCGTCCATTGTGGCCCCACCCTACCCCCGAGGGTCATGATTTGAACAAACTTGAATCTACACTACATCAGGATGCTACCATATAAATATGACTCATAATGGCTTTGCTTTTCTTGAGAAGATTTTTAAAGATCTTTCCTATATATTTCTATGTAAAACTTTGATCCTCCATTGTGCCCCCCTACATGTACCCCTGGGGGTCATGATTTTAACAAATTTGAATCTACACTACTTAAGGATGTTTCCACATAAGTTCCATCTTTCTTGGCACAGTGGTTCTGGAGAAAAAGATTTTTTTTCTATATATTTCTTTGTAAAATTTTGATATTCCATTGTGGCCCCACCCCCCTCCTGGGATTATGATTTTAACAAGCTTGACTCTACACAATCTGAGAATGTTTCCATATAAGTTTCATCTTACCAGTTCTAGTGGTTCTTGAGAAGAAGATTTTTAAAAGATACCATTAATTTTTCACTAATTCTTAATTATCAATGCCTTGGAAGAAGGCATTGGCCCTTCATTTGAACAAACTTGAATCATCTTTACCCAAGGATACTTTGTGGCAAGTTTGGTGGAAATTGGCCCTGTTGTTCTTGAGAAGAAGTCGAAAATGTGAAAAGTTTACACACGACGCACACCCGCACGACGACGGACGAAAACAGATAGCAATAGGTCACCTGAGTGACTCAGGTGACCTAAAAACAAATCCACAGATAGTTAGTCTACAATAGAATCAGAAATATGAATCCCCAACCTTAAAGTTAAAATGAGTATCGAAATTGTAATCATTAGAAATTACAAATAATCATTTTATTATGTGTTGAATCAAACTTTCCTTAAAAAAACATTCAGACTCTTTACTGCAATTGTCAGTCTACAACATTCTATTTTGGTATACTGATTTCAATTTATTTTCATAATTCATAAATTTCAATTTTGTGTAACTGTATATGATACAGTTCCAAGTACAGTGTCATAAGCTCATTAACATTTGATATAAATGCTTATTATTTAAACCATGACTCTAAAATTGAAGGAAAAAAACGCTAGTTAATTTACTTTCCAGAGTATTTTTTGCAAAATAAGTCAAATAAAGTGATCTGTGACGCTGGTATTTTTCAAAATATTTTATGAGAAACTGTAAACATGCCAAAAAAATTATCCTTACCTCACAAATGAAAAAAAAGCTGTATATTGGCTCAATATACTATTATGAAAAGTAGGTAAAATACTAAGTTCAAGGTTCACAAGGTCGGTAACCACAGTAATTTACAAAAAGCCACAGTGCCAAGCAATATGTGTGATATATATATACAGTACCAACCAGACCCAGCCTGACACCTAAGCAGTCCCAGAAAGCAGTCCCCGGGACTGCTTTGGGACTGCTCTGGGACTGCTGTGGGACTGCTCTGGGACTG